ATAAAGACTTGATCTGCTTTTTTTCATCTTCTCATAACTTCATTTTCCTTTCAAGATTTTTCATATTCTAATGATGAACAGAAAATGATTTCTTTAATTCAGTTATTTTTTTTCTTTTTGTGTGAGAGTTCATGTATCACTTCTTTGCTTATGTATCTTAGAAATATTTCTTTGTGGCTTCGATTTTGAAGAGACTTTTTAAGGATTTTAAAGCCTTTTTCAATGGCCTTTTGCTTTCTCCCCTCCATCAAGTTCATCAAATTAACACAAAAGCCATCTTCCTGCTGAAGTCATTTCATCATTGCTCTTCTTCTTACTTAACTTCCTTTTTGAGTCAAGAAGATCCCCATGTCCTTTCCATTCTGTTATTGAAATATCTCCAGGCTCTGCTTCACTTACTGTTTCTATGGGCTTTCTCTACACTCTTGGATACTTCAGTCCTATTTTATCTAAAAAGCAATAAATGGCATTGCCCTTCTGCAATAATGTAGCATAAATACATAGTGTATACATATTACAACTTTGTAATATTTGTAGCCAACTTACTCCAAGCTCAAAGGCTTTGATTAAGCATATTATGGGGGTGTTATTATGTTTTTGTTTATTTTTTGTGTGTTTGATGAATAAACAGGTCGCCTGCCCTTAGCCAGAATTTCCAGGCAAGATGGGAAGCGAGGTGTAAAAAATGCACTCGAGAGTAACAAGGAAGCTTGTGAAAGGAACTGAGTGATCCTCACCATATCCAGATGAGTAGTACAAGGCCTTCTCTGAACTCAAAGGCCAGGAGATATTCTATTTTATCCTAAAATGTGAATTTTTTTTCTGAGACTGTGTGTATGCTTATGTATATATAACCGCATAAATATCTATGTGCGTATACGTTTATACTCTTGAACTGACCCCATTACTTAAGTAATTTGATTTCATAATATATACTTTAGATCAGCTTGTTAGATGGTTTAGCCACTTAAAATTCATGTAATAGAAATCATTAATATTTTTGTAGCTTACTTACAAATAAAGAACCTCTAGAGATATCCCTGATTGTAATAGATAGGAGCCATATAACTCTCATGCAAAACATTTTTAAAAGAAAATACTTTCTCTTCATATGATTTCAGATAGAGTTCTTTTTGTAGGTATTGGGTTATTTCCACTTCTGATCCAGTATAGTTGGTTTCATTTGTGGACACTTTTCTGGGTTACTTGGAGGATCTTTTTGGGTAAACATAAGCATCAAAAATAAATTTCCACTCTAGAGAGAGAGTTAATTTAAAAATGGAGTACCTGGATGAATCTCTTTTACTTTTTAAACAATATAGCATTGCAATTTTATTTCTGAAACTGAATTATTATAAGAGTTAAGTGAGAAGGAACATCCAAATCATTGTCACACAACAATTTCTATGTTGTGTGAAACATAGTAATTTATTAGTCAATACCATAGTTGTCAACATCATTATCAGACTGAGAAAAGTTGTAAAATCCTGGGGCAATCAATTTTAAATCAACAGTAAAATGACAAACTATTTCCATAAGTTTTATACAAATACATTTGCCATTTATGTTTTCCCATCTCCTTTTATAGAAGAAAATTGATGCAAATGGGGGCTTACTAAGTCATACATGCATATAAATATACACATTGCCATAAAGCACTGTGATAAGTAAATTCTAAAAAATTATGTTGTGCATGTTTAAGCAATGGAAAAAGTATGTCAAATTCATCTGAAGCAAGATTTTTTATCATAACTGCTTAAGAGTCATGAGCAAATATAGCTCGTCTGGGGAATTCTCCTTTAAGTTATTTATGTAGGAAATACATGTTTTCTTGACATTAACATTCAAATAGATATCACTTCACTTCATAATTTTATGTCACATTTGCTGTTTAATTGCTCCATATGAGAAATGTTTCTGGTAAATGAGCACTGGCCTCGAAAGAAATGGTTTTACTGTGTATAAATGTATTCTGTCTTTTCCTCTGAAGAATGTAATTCAAAATGATGTTACACTAAAAAGGTTTTGACACAAAGACATGTAAAACTTCAGGCAGTTGGACTAATTTTTTATTCATGCAAAACATGAAAACCTTCTTCTTTCAAATAATTCAACAATATCTCCCACTTATTATAATGCCAGACAGTGGTTCAAATGTGCATGTAATACAATCATAAAATAATTTGATCACAGTGATCTGCTAGGTAATTTTCTATTGCCTTCTCATTTTTCTCTTTATGAGTATAGACATTTTAATATACGTTATGATTTTTTAGAGGTGCATTTAAAATAATATTGTTTTAGAGTGGCATATAAAGAAAACCAGAGCTTTTATTTTTAATATCATGTTAAATTAGAAGAATTGTGAACTTCAGAGTTTAAAAACTTGTAACTTCAATTCATTGTTGATAACTGAGTATTTATCTCTCTAAGGGTCCATCTTCTTTATAGGCAAAGTGATAAATATTAATCTAATAATGTTAATTTAAGAAAGAAAATAAGACAGTAATCATAAAGTTCATGGAACAGCTTATAAATGCTCTAACAGTTTCAATGCTCTGATCGCTCACATACTTTCTTATTTAATCACCCTTAAAAACACAAATTGAAACTTGAATAAATACCCAACACGCCTATGGACCTATCCAGATTCTTTTACCCCTACATACTATCTAAAGTTATCTTTCTGTTTCAGTGGGATCTAAGCATGGAATTTGTGTCTCCTAACTATATGTAGCTTCTCTTGAATCGAGACTTTCACTGTCTATTTTCCAGGTCTATTGCCCAAACTTCTACAAAATACTCTTCACCCATACCTGTAGGGCATGACTTGCTGCCGGCTTCCCGGTCTTGGGGCCGCACATGTGGCTGGGATGGCTCCTGGCGATCAGCCAGTAGGTGGTGCTGTGGTGGTGACAGAAAAAATAGACCACCTCCAGGATAGGTCCAGGATTCTTCCGACCTGTGGGCAGCTCGTGCCTTCCCTTACAGACCCTGGGAAGGGTGTACACGTGAACTCACTCCACCCCTCTGACCTTTATCCTGATTGGCTCCTGTGCATTATATTAGCTGTGTGTAGTTCCTCAATAAACAAGATCCTGCTTTGACCTGTCTCCCTAGCTTGTCTGATTGTCCTTCGGAAAGGTAGGGCTGGGTGCAGGCGCCTGGGTGCAGGCGGCCAGTCAAGCTTTGCTTTTCTTGGCTCATCCTGGTCGGGGCATGCTTTCCCTATCTCTCCCGCAGGTCAGGAGGAAACCAGGGGCTAAAACCCTGACACCTACCCACTAGTAGGACACCTTTCCACTGGTAGTGGTTTTGAATTTCTGACCTGGAAACACCACTATCACCCATATAAATAAGAATATCACATTTCCCAGAACATATTTGCTACACTATAGATTCCACATGCTTTATATACACAAAACCTGAATTTGAACCCATGTTTAATATCCTACATTTTACAAGCAAACAGAATAATCTCTCAATCTATACTGCTCAATAATCTATCACAGCTTGCCATATTTAAAGCAGACAAAAAAATAAAAACAGAAAGAAAGGAATAAGAAAAGAAAGAACTAAAGGAGAAAAGAAATGAAAAACATGGAAAGCTTTTAGAATTGGAATCATATTCTTTAATGAGATCATATGATAGAGAATCAAATTAATTATTTGTTTCTCCTTTTATTTATTTATTTTTTGTTTCCCTCAATAGAAAAGAAAAAATATTGCTTTAAGGAATTTTGTGTTAGTGCTCATAATGTTATCTAGTAAACTTTGTTATATACTTTCCATGTTCTAAAGTTTGATGTTATCTTTGTAACAAATTCATACATTTTTTAAATTGACAGAAACTATGTATGTTTAGCATGAATCACATGGCATTTTTTAATATGTGTCCTGGTGGAATGGTTCAATTGACTAATCAACATATGCATTAAAATATAATGATTTCTAAATGCCATTCCAAACATTTGGCAATTAGACTTTCTGATTACTAATAAAAAATATATCAATGAAGAAAATGTAGTTTGAAACTATAAAGAAAAAAGTGACAAAACATTCAAATATGAAAACATGTAGCCAAAGCAATAAAACATACAATTATTTAAATATTCTTAGTGCTACAGATTTTAGTAGATGAACTCCCTAATTGTCCTTCTGAAGTGGAAAAAGAAAAATTATTTTGGTTTTTAAACTCTTTAGACAAATAACTACCTGGTGATTTAATCAAATTTCTTATAAAACTATGACTAAAACCATTCAGCATCAATATTCTAACTCTGAGAAACAGAGAAATGATTCCCCAAAATGCACTGGGAAGTGAATAGGTACTGATTGGTGTTAAATGTAATACTGTAACAGAAAACTAGATGAAATACAAGTGAGAAATACTCATTTTCAAAGGGAAACACAGAGTTATAGAGAGGATACAGGTGTGAACCATTCTATTATCAAAAGGAACTGTAGCAATTTTCACCTATTGCAAAACTAAAATGAAATAACTAGTCAGAACTAAAATAATAAAATATCATCAATATTATCCTATGCACAAAAGTATATGAAAATATTTCTATGTGTATAATTACAAAAACGGAGTCACAGAATTATTATGTTAAATATATAATAAAAAATATGATGGTACATGTGTTACAAATATGATGTCTTATATCAGATTATGCATATTTGTGTTACGTCTTAAGTTAATAATGTATCAGGGTAAGATCCCACCCAAACAACTATAAATATTTTGTTTTAGTTAACATTGATTTAATAAGTCTGATTGTTCAATTATTAACTCTATTTTCTATTAAAATAACATGGGACGTGAATTACATTGAAATTATAAATTCTGAAGTCATGCAATTTTTATCTGTTGACTTATGCTCCCTGAAACCAAAAAATGTCTGGGAAATGATTTTAATTGCTAATGCATTATATGACATTGTAAATCAATAATTTCAAATGGCTCTGCAGATTTTGAGTTAGGGTAAATTACATACTTTTGGGGAAGCGAGGTGGATTGTCATTGACGTCACTGAGGGTGATGTTGACTACTGTTGTTCCAGCCAGTCCTCCTAGTTGTCCTCCCATATCTTTGGCTTGAATGAGAACTTGGTATTGTTCTTTGACTTCTCGATCCATGTTTGGCAAAGCTGTTCTAATAATACCTTAAGGGGGAAATAGTAACAGAAGACAAACATCACAAATTCTGTACTTTCCATAATAAAATAGATTGCAACCACAATAAAATGATTCTATGTAGATTCACTAGCAAAGTTATGCTAGTGAAAAATCATGTGTTATTTAAAAACACCTTAAATGCTCAATACTTAAGATATAATTTAATATATTTTGGAAACAACCCTACAATGAGATACAGAGCAGCAGTGAGGAATTATTAAAAACTACCATATTAGTTCTAAAATGTAATTAAGAACATTAGGTTAAATTTTATTTATACAAATGTGTCTATTTCAAATAAGAATTATTTTAAAAAATGGTAAACATAATCATGTGAAAAAATGTACATGGTCAATTTCTGTTGAGTGTTCACTTTCTAATGATTACCATTTTCTTCTTCACTTTCATTTTCTAGGATAAATATGCCACTTAGTTTTTTTTTAAATTCATGAATAATCTCCTTTGCACATTATATTTTGTCTTTCACATCTCCCTCAGTTACTTTAGCAATAGATTTTTCATTTAGGTATAATTAAGCTTTATAATTGCTGGGGCTTCTGTCTCCTTTGTCACCAGGTCCTCCAGCACCTAGGACAGAGCCCAATATTTGGAAGGAACTCAACAGCTGGTTGACCAAATAAATGACTGTTCGAGTGAATTTATCCATAATTACATTTTTAGTCATAAATTTAATGGTTCATATGCATATTTATACATGATGTTCATTTTCTACTTTTGTGTCCAAATTTAGAACTAATTTATATTTACACTTATTCATAAGGAAGTAAGTAAAAGCTTCCAGCATTCTTTGCCAAAAAAAAAAAAAAAAAACATGAATGCATTTTAAACCTAATTCCTATTTGCAGTCAATGGTTTTAGGGTAAGATGGGACAGCCTTTGCCTTCAACCTGTATGGCATTGATAGTGTTGTTTCTTAAGGGAGCAAGTATGAATGACAAAGAGTATCAACAGGAGCACATAGCATTGAAATCACAAACCAAATATGCATCCTCATTTTATCTTTACTTTCTACTTACTATCCAACTACCAAATGCCATTTTGAAGCCAATTCAGATTTAACTGCAATCTGAAATTTCTTTTGACAATTGAAAGAAATAATTATAAAATGACAGCCTTCATTTTGCTACTGATGTTTTATTCAAGAATTGGTACTGACACCATTTTGATTCAATCTGTTTGTCTCCAGCTTAAGATCCTGATGCTTTATTTCCAACTAAATCTTACAACTAAGATTTTTGATCTCTAATTTTTAATGTCTCTGTCCTGCCTACCTTAATCTGTGTGACTTCTTTCTGAATTATGCTTTCTGAAAATTTCAGATAAATTCCTGAGTTTGATTCATATGTTCATATGCTTACTGACTTGTTCTTCTGTTCACTAAGGCCTAGCTTTACACAATTTATTTTGAATATAATAACTACAAATATATATATATATAATATTTTTATTTGCTTAACTCATTTGTGTTTGAAAATCCCCAATATCAAATTAGAGAGAAAGAAAAGAGAGAGAAGGCAGGAAAGAGAGAAAGGGAAAGCGAATTATGGACTTGTTTCTTTCTGCTTAGTGAAGTGTATAAAAAAGCTATCTACTGAGATGAAGTTAGATCAAAACAATAAGATGCAATTGCAAAGGGGGTAGATACATATAACTCACTTTCAGAATATCTGTTTTTTCCTGTGATCTTTTTTTCCCCTGTGATTTTTAAATTTGTCAAGATGTCCCCATGGCACCTGCCACCCTGCCCTCTTCATCTGCCCTGGGTATGATAGGTGACCTGCCTTCTGCTCCCTGCCCAACTTTGGTACCATGTTGCCTAACTACCTATAAGGTAGTACATTAAAATTTTGGAAGAGCAAGAATATATGTGATGATGAGAATGATGCTCTTACCGCCATCACTTACATTCAAGAACCAACCACGGTTCCACAAAAATAAAATGCAACATTTGCACATTTTTGTAACTTGTAGAAATCTGGGGAATCAGGAAGACTACAATATTGAGCATGAAAAGAGAATTTTTTATTATGTCACTTTTTTTAAATGCTGAGGAAGAAAATTTCTCTTTCAGGAAATTATTCCTCTTATGGCCACTTGTTTATCAATCAATTAAAAATGAAAACCAATCAAACAAGCAAGAATAGATTACATGGTTTTGATGTAGGAGGACTTTGCAAAGGATTGAGCTGCAGTACTTCCATACCAGACAGCAGGAAGCAGAAGAAAATGCTTCATGCCAACTAAGTTTTCATGTTAGCATCATGTGTCCATCCTATCTACCTTCCTTTTGGTATTTGTATATAGATACAGTGGCTGACTTATAGGAGAGCAGTTAAAAACAAACCCATGAATTTTATAGAACAGTATAAATATTTCACAAAAATGATGCCACTTACTTTAATTCATTCCATATAATTCTAAACTAAATTATATTTATTGGATAAAAGGAGACAGAGCTAATTAATCCTGGGATGATTTGAATATCTTCTAACTGAGGATATTTCTAATATATTAATCAAGACAACTAGAATGGGAAAATATTGTTACATAGTTTCTGCCAATATAAATGGACATATATGATTGAGATAGTTTTACATATTTAAAATAATATAACAAAGAAAAATAGTCTGCAGAGAGTTTATTTTCTTTGGCAATAGTTCCTCAATCTTGATGGATGTCTGATTATTTTATAAAATACAGTAAATGTTCCAAGAATGCCATTTTGAGATGAAAAATAACACGATATTACATAGGAAAAAAATATCACAAACAGCATCTGTGATCATCTAGAATATAATTTTACAGAAGCTATTTTTTGAATGAAGAGGTAAAGTGCAGTACTAAGACATGGGACCACAGATCAGGCAGGCCTTGTACTAAAGTAAACATTTCATTCACCTTTTGTTATTAGAATCGAGGATATAATCTTCTTCTCCTGCTCTTCCTCCCTAACCCATTTTGAGTCACCCCCCTTATATCATTTGATTTTTAGGGATTGGCTAACTTCACTTAGCATAATCTGCTCTAATGCCATCCATTTCCCTGAAAATGTCATGATTTTGTAATTTTTTAGTGCTGAGTAATATTCCATTGTGTATAAATGCCACATTTTTTTTTATCCATTCATCTATTGAAGGGCATCTAGGTTGGTTCAACAGTCTAACTATTGTGAATTGTGCTGCTATAAACATTGATGTGGCTGTGTCCCTGTAGTATGCTCTTTTTAGGTCTTTAAATAGGGAAGAGAGATGGGTGGGAAAAGGAGGGAGAAGGGGAATTGCACAGAAGATGGAAGGAGACCCTCATCATTATACAGAATACACATATAATGTTGTGAGGAGAAAAAAAGAAGAAGTGTGTCACATTAGATTGGGTAGGGAGATGTGATAGGAGGGGAGAGGGGACGGGAAGGGAGGTAGGAAGGGCAGCAGAATAAAATAGGCATTATATTATTATTATTATTATCATTATTATTAATATATTATATTATTATTGTTGTATGTATATAGGTAACTGTATGACCAATATGATTCTGCAACCTGTACAATCAGAAAAATGAGAAATTATACCACATTTGATTCAACTGTATGAATTGTCAAGATCATTGTACTGTCATGTGTAACTAATAAAAAAAATAATTAAAAAAAAAAGAATTGAGGATATAATAGACAGATTCAATTGCTGCCCACCCCCCAGATGTACTTTAATGCTTTTCTAGACTTTGCTCCTTGGCTCCAGGAAGTCTTAGGTCTATTGGCAGTGTATTGTCAAGTAAAACAGAAATCATCTTGGGCTTTTGTTCCCATAGTAGCCCACATCCCATTCCTTCTATCCCAGGGGCCCTCACTAGATAATGCCTGTGTCCCTAGACCTTCTCTCTCCTTCAGTCTTAGTGAGCTAACAGCACCCTCTTGTTATTCCTTCTCCAGGTACTATTTATGCCTTAGTGATTCTCTAAAGTCTGCATGTGCTTTAGCCAATTGTAGTTTAATTAAACTAATTTCAAACTGTCCCATAGTGCCTGTTCCTCATCCCCATTCACCATCTTCTGAAGCAGCATCTTCAATTCTTTTTTGACTCCTCTGTTTCACTAAGAAAGACCCTTGGGATTATTTGGGTCCACTGAAAGGAAACAGGATGATTCCCATCTCCATAGCAGATTATCTGCTGGATAAATTATACCTGCGACTTAGCTCTTCTTTGCATATAGTATAACACATCTGCAAGTTCAAGCAATTAACAACTTTTCATACTCGGGTTGGGTCATTATTCTATGAGAGATACTACTCCTCAGCATTTCATGACCTTTGTCATTTTCTCTTTAGTTCTTATTGCTAATCAAAACCCTGTTTATTTTTCTTAATTATTCTCTTTGGTTTGTGGTCCCCAAACAAAATATCAGTTGCTGAAAGCAAGCTTTTTTCTTTGTATTTTTGGAGAATACTTACCTAGAATAATGTCAAGCATACAGTAGACATTTAATAAATAATATTTTAAAAAATATATTTTAATAAATTAATAGTTAATTTACCATATGGGATAAAAGCATACATACATTTTTTTCAAGAGAGATTATTATTTAATGTGTTTTTAAAAATTCTGGTCACTATTTGCAGAAAAGAATTTCTGATATAATTTTGAATGGGATGAAGGATTTAGTTTGGACCTAGCTGTATTATAATTGCTATATCATGAGAAACATCTTGAATAAACATTATTTTTGACCAGAGAGTGATCTCTTTAAGTAAATCATAGGCTCCAGGATTGACCAAGTAATAATTAACCTTTATACAAGTAATAATGTGGAGAAAGCAGTAGAAAATATATTTTATATATAAGCCTGTTAAAGATAGATGGCAGGATAGGAACAATAATAATAGTGTAAGAACTAAGAACTTTAGCAGGCATAATATATATTTCCATTTTCAATTTCACAGCTAAGTAATTAAAAACACTAAATAAGAGA